ACATTGTACACAATTAAACTAGCAAAAACAGAAACGATAATTCATTCACTATTATTGTGAAATTACTACCAATTTCTGTGCAGAATAAGCTCATATGAAGTGGCAGATTATCTCTTCTGGCGAGTACTCTAAGAATTCGATAGTATTTGCCTCGGCAAAATGTGCAAAACAATTTTGCTCGGTTGATTACTCGGGCAAAGTATTCTCTAGATGCGTCGTAACCTTTTCTTCCTTCGCGTATATCGCCCACTGCCAGGATGAGGTAGTGCGCCGCATCCCACGTGATGGGACAGGGGTACACAAAATCCGCGTCTCCAATTCCTATGTCATTGTGAATTGCTTCCTTGAATGGTTCATTGACGTATTGACCATCCACCGCCACAGCTTAAATACGATCAATTTTCATTACGATTCATCTTGAAAACTAAAAAAATATTCGACTGATAATGAACTTTACTATTAAATCAAGTATTAGAATTATATTAGAGATGATTTATGTCCCCTGGATCCGATTTAATAATATTTCTCAGGATAGCAATGCGAGAACATAATAACCAGCACGTCATTGAAAATTAACTAATCACACTATAATTGAGTTTTGCATTGCGTGGACTAATTTTTGATGCATCGGCAACCTTAAAAATTCATCAATAAATGTAGAAGGTGCGCAGCTGGTGTAAGAGAAACCCATCGCAGGCACCTAGGAGGTTGAAACAACCGAGGCTCGCGAACAAATGTACTATTTCTCAAATAATGGACAGATTTAGATTGCAAGGAACATACAACCGTCACTCGAGGGAAAAGGAAGAGAGGAAACATTGTGTTCATCCATCAAACCCAAGGGCAGAAACTACCGTCAGATGCAATTAAACTGGTCGAGTTACACAAAGTCAATGCGACTAAAAGCAAGAACAGATTTGAGTCAATAATGAAAGCACAGACGTGATATTTATAAACCCCGTTGGGGCTAAGTGAGTTCCCTTGCAATTTGCGAGGTACGGTTACAAATAAGAAAACATGGAAATTGAGATTGTAATCACTTGTCATGTGGGTGAGGTGATCATGAGGCAGATTTATCCTTTTAACTATGTTGACCACAATATCCTTAGCAAGTTCTTTTGCTTTACCTCCTGCCAAGATGTTTCCTGCCACAACGTAGTCCAGCTCATCTTCCGATTCCACAGAGCTTGGGTCTTCGACGTTCGGAGTGCGCTCTCTCTGCTGATCTCTGGCATTGTAAAGCAGGGGACTTCCAACTGGGAAGACCACTTAGATACCTTCATGCATAGCAACGATTAAGTTACATTGATTCGAATTCCTGTTGATAGTTGCTTCATCAACGGTAATCCAAAAATTCCAAGGAATATTGGTAGAAATGAGTGAAGTTAGGTGCGTAACGGATATTGTGTTCGCTATGTGTTTAGTGGCTGCCCTCAGTATGTCATTAAAGGTGTTCCTGAAACAAATAAATGGGTATTTCTGAATGCAAAAATCAATGTAAAAAAAGATTAGGAGGTTACAATACTAAAAAATTGTTTTAGTTTTCATCAAATCAATTTATTTGTAATACTTGCACACTAAGTCCAATTTTTCCAATGTCACCACCTGCACTGCTGATTGAGGATAGAATACCTGGAAAGTTGCGAGCTGCATCCTCGTAAATTACACATTGAATTACAGCTCGCACGACGTTCTCGGTTACCTTGAGTGAACGTTTCATGATGTTGCTTCATTTCTATGCATGTTGCATTGCAGAAAGGTGGAGGGACGACTGAACGTGATGGCTAAGCGAAGACTTGAAGCAATACCACCGTTTTCTGTCATCTTAATTTTTACACAGAGTCCCTAAGGTGAGGGCTTCTTACTTTTCTTGATCGGCAAGTAAGCCAGCAGCAAAAGATAAACCTAGAACTTTTTTCACTATTTCTGTAGGTGCCCCTGATCTTAAATACTGTGCACAATGATCACAGGTGATCATTTTAAAGAAGCCTCATTTTCTCTACTGACCGTCAGCAAATTCACATCGGATGCACATACTTCAAGATTCGCACATGTTCTGAAAACTGATGAAATGCTTGTGCTACACACACTTGCACTACCTGAGCGTATGCCTTGGATAACGGATAATAAACCCATCTTTTTATCTTATTCTGTCAGTTTTTTCTTTATTTCTCTGCGAACGACGCTTCCGGAGTCGCATGTGTGACTTGCGGTGCGAGTAAGGTAAGTAGCAATTGGTACTTCGTGATTAATTGTTGTAACTCTGTTCACAGAGGTCGGCTCTTCAATTGGCATTTTTCTAAAGCGTTAAGAAGTCGAATCTCTGCCTACAACCGTCGGAATTTGATTGTCTACCCAGTATTCAGATGCCGAAGTAGCAGTGTTACAAGCTGCCTCCAACTCGGGGGTCGTTCCTTCGAATGATTCAGAAGCAGTAGAAGCCGTGACAACTACATCTTCAGCAGGCTCCACTTCCATTGTCGTCATGATAGAAAGCTCCAATTCCGAGGTTACTCTGTCGTCATCAGGTAGCACCGTTTCTTTGCCAGAAATAATTGAACTACGAGCATCGAACAGGGCAGAATATTCATCAAGTTTGGATTTAGGACACGTAAAGCTGACATCTTTCGATATTTTCAAAAATTTCTTGCCGTTCTCGAATATCATGGCTTGAACAAAATCAAAGTAAATCATGGCGGAGTGTAATTTTTTATGGTGCTTGGTCAGAGTAGTTTCATAGCTATCACACAGGTGATAATACTGGCGTTTTTTAAGACAAAGTAATCATACACTGGCCTGACGTGTTTTCTTCTGTAATAGATATCGAAGTTTTCTCCACTTCAACTCTTTTAGAACTATCCCGCGATTGTGAAAGCCAATATGTAAAAGATTTTGAACACTAATAACGCGCTCGTCATATAATGCAATGTTTCATTACTACAACTACATTATCAACAGTTAACTCATAAGACTTCAAATTAAATTTGTCCACAATTTAAAAATTTACAAACGTATTAGTCTTCTGGGCTATTTATCCCGACTGTAAGCATCAAATTCACCAGAGGAGTGTTTTAATTGTCTGACGACCCGTTTGAGGTGACATAGTTATCTATGTAATCTCCGTATACATGAATACAAAGCGTCAATTGCCATGCATGTTCAATATTAATGCGATCGTGTGGCTTCAAGTAACAAATTAAAAGGAATATATATTCAGACTTCAAATTATCAAATGAAACATATTGAAACGGTTCCAAACATCAGATTAAATTGCTTTAAAGCTCCAATCATTCATCTTGCCTTTATCATATTTACGAGTTCGCTCTGGGTTGGAATTTTGGACTTCAGATGTGGATGCTACAGCTTCACTCGCAACTGGAGGCACAGAATCCAGATGAAAGGACAATTTGGGGCCAACAGTTGTTCACCTGTAAAAAGAGTATTTAAAAGAATTCCTCCCCAAAAAAGTCGACCTGCGAAGTTGATCGAGCCAGACGTTTCGAAAAGTTTCTTTAATTTCTTTGATAGTGATACGGCAAAGCTCGCTCACTCGTCGCCCATTGAAGAAGACAAGACGGTATACAATTAACCGTCGGAGTTCTAGATATTCACTGGCAGTGATGGTGGTTGCACCTGCAAGAACCTTCAAACTTCCATTGATATATGCTTTGACTGCTTCCATCTAGCCTAAATCAGGCAGCCGAGATGGTCTCCGGAGAACTTCTCGGATTTTATTAGAAGCGAATTCTGAACTTCTGAACATTTCTCACCACTTCATTTTCCAACTAGAAAGAAATTTACCTATTTCTTCTGCTTTACCGTCTTCTTTAGCAATGAGGAGCATCTCTTGAAAAGCCGGCGCGGCTTCTTTGATGCAATAACTCACAGCTATACGTAGTCCGTGTTTGACATGGTTATTTACGTGGGTCATATTTTCAATGGCCTTAACTAGGTATGGGATTTAGAGACGATCAAAAAAATCTTCTGTTACCAATGTTTTCCTATTTCTTCTGCAAAAGCCCGAAAGTTGACAAAAGACGAGCAATCATTCCCATGTATTTCATGGTACTCACTCGTGCTTCCAGCCGTTTGCTGCTACATTGGAGAGACTTGTATTGCTGATGTCCCAACTCCCAATGACCGGATCAAGGGATTAGATAGGCACAAAACTCCGACTTCGTCGTTGCGGAATCTTTCGAGAATTTCTGACTCTATAGTCTAGAAACTAGATTGTTCATTCGTTCTTTTTCTTATAAGTGCTGGTTCAGTAGGATTATGCATGTTGTGTTAAAAAATACCTTCATTGCGGATCTTCGTCATTTCTTTGAGGCGCTTTTGGGGTGACATTTTCTGCAATTCATTCACCTTGGAGAGATTTCCATGCATTTTTCGTATGTGTCGTGCCAATTTTGTCCGAAAGAATCCACAGTACGGACAAGGCCTGGCCGGCCGTTTGGAGTTGGAGACTTTCCCGGTTAGATGATTTTCCTTTGGAATTGCAACACCAGCGTTTCTTGCAAGTTTTTTTGCCTCGTAAACCTTGTTTAATTGTTATGATTTTATTACATTACAAGTGGATTAAATAACAATTGAAGTACCATATTTATCTGCTGGAAAAGACGAATCCAGTTGGGCATCCAGTAGTAGTAGTAGTAGTAGTAGGGGGGAGATTTCTAGCGCTTCAGATCAACTTCGTCTATTTCGCGCCGAAGGTGCAGTTTTCGGTTTCGCAGGTTCAGGTTTTCCGTTGGTTCTAGGCTCGCAGCCTGTTCCATCTGATCTTGGGTGTATGCTTCTCGATTTCTGAGGCGCAGGTTCGATCCGTCTTCTGTCGCTTCATTTCAATCAGGAATGTGCTGACACGAATGTGGTGTTTCGTCGAAGGTGTGGGTCTTTTCTGATCTATGTCCTGGTGCCGTGCTAGATATCCGGCAGCAGGTTACACTCGGTTAGATATTGTCTGAGGTTGTCAGTTCCAAAGATGCTTTGGGGAACTTCCCTCAGCATCTAGACAGCATTTCATTGGAGCTGAGAGCAGTACTGTTGGGGTAGTAATTTTGCCGCTTATCTCTGTGGCTCGGGCATTCCGCCATAATATGCCAGACCGTCAGAGGTACCAAACAATCATTGCAATACGGCATTGGACGACGTTCGATCAGGTAGCTGTGAGTGAGGCGCGTGTGGCCGATCCTTAGTCTGCACAGTGCTACCTCCATCTTCCGGGATTTCTGGTACGATGAACTCAATTCTTGTACACAGTCCTTTATTGTGGTCCGGTTTTTGCTTCTCACGTTCAGCCACTGTTCCTGCCAGATATGGCGGATGCTTGCCTTGATAGGGTAGTGGTCCCGGCAAGGGACCTGCTCACTATGGATCGCCTGGTCCGATGAGGCGGCTTCTATCGTCGCCTCGTCCGCCCTCTCGTTGCCTCGCACCCCCACGTGTCCGGGCACCCAGCAGACGCTCACCGCTCTCCTTGCCCCCGCCAGGCGCACCAACCCCTTCAGGATCTCCAGGACGATGGGGTGGCTGCTATTATATACTCTCAGAGCCTGCATCACGCTTTTGGAATCTGTAAATATGGTAAAGTCATCTTCTGGCAGTTCATCTATGAGGCTACGGGCACAGCTGATACCGACAAGCTCAGCGGTGTAGATTGACGAGTTAGAACGGAGTCGTCTTGACACCGCCGCTGCGTCGGCCGCAGCTGCACATCCCACTGCGTCGTTCGTCTTGGAGCCGTCGGTGTAAATGTATTGAGTTTGCATGTTTTGTAGATGCATGGTTGAGAAAGAGGTTTCTTATCTCGCTTGGGTGTGTCCTTTGCTTCAGTGGGTAGTTTTGATCCGGGCCGAATGTGTTGATGGGGATGCGCCATGTAGGGGTATCCTCAAACGCGTTGTTGCAAGCAGTGTTTCATATTCTTCGGATGACGGGATATTGTACGGGAAAATGATTGGTCGGTCTTCAGTTATAACGCTGCGCCACGTTGGTGATAGAGGTAATTGCTTGAGGCGGGCTATCATCTGTAGTCAGAGCAGTATTCGGCGGAGATAGAGTGGAGGTTCGCCGCGCTCTGCGTAGAGGCTAATAGTGGGGACATTTTAAATGCTCCGGTACATGTTCTGATGGCGGCGTTGTGGACCGGGCCGAGTAAAGAAAGGGTTTGTTTTCTTGCGTGTTGGTAGATGATGCATCTGTAGTCCATCTTTGTTCTAATAATGGTTCTATAGAGGCGAAGTAGGGTCAGCCTGTCCGATCCCCACGTCTGTCCGGACAGGTTCTTCATGAGGTTCATCCTCCGGAGGCAGCTGCCCTTCAAAGCCCGCAGGTGGGGCCCCCAAGAGAGCCTGCAGTCCCATGTCATGCCAAGGAATTTAGCCACCGGGGATACGGTAATTTGAGTGCCTTGTAAAAACAATGGAGGGAGTTGTTTCTGAGAGCGATTTCGTTTAAAGTGCATGGCCACGGTTTTCTCGCTTGAAAAGGAGGAGCCGCGGGCCATGGTCTACTGACTGGCTCGATTTATGGCGGTTTGAATACGGCGTGCGAGGGCGGGTAGGTAGTGGGATGATGCATAGGTCATAAAATCGTCGACGTATAGAGAGGACTGTACGTTAGGAGGAAGGCTGGAGGTGATCCCGTTTATAGCCATCAAGAAGAGCGTGCAGATGATCACGCTTCCCTGCGGCACACCCTGGTTCTGGACGCCTAGGGGTGAGAACGGTAATGGCGTCCTATCAGGGTAAAGGCGTCCGCTACTAAAGGCACGTTCACACTAGGGGCAACACGCGAGAATCAAGTGCCTCAGAGCGCATGCAGAGGCGCTTTGCAGCCTCTGCATGCGCTTCTTGACCGATTGACGAGCTAGCGATTGACAGGGGCCATGCCTCGTGCAACACAAGCGCGGCACTTAGTAGATAGCTATTAAAGAATTGATATTACTTGTGTGCTTAAATCGCAAATTAACTAAGAATTTAAATTAAATTAAAAATTTAAATCAAATTTAAAATCTGAATTAATTAATTAAAGAAATTCAATTCGTTCTATGGTTTCAATGTATTAAAGTGTGACTTTTGATTTGTGATTCTAGATTCTACGAACTGACGATGGAGCTGGTCTCCGAAACGTTTTCTATAAAGATATGAATTTTTGTGGACTATTCTTTGCTTTTAAATTCTTAGTATATAGCTGTCTGTGGTCTAGTAAGGTTGATTGTGTACGCTGGTCCGGCATACCAAATGTCGACTAAAACACCACTCTCGTTTAGAGTCACACTCTTGTAGAGCGCCTAATTGATATTTATAGAGAACACGAATGCCTATGGAGTGTTCGGTCAGAGGAGTACAAATATCGAAATGCAAATGATGTAAGTTATTTTCACATGACGTGTTTAGTTTATGTGATTTTAGCAACTCCTGACAATTTATGCATTACCGTTCAGCGATTTCAAAGGATGATATAATATCGGTACGAATATTGGAACTTTTTTTAATAATAGACTATATTTTTTATAAACTGTATCTTTTTGAATGCTAGTTCTCTAATTATGATGCCTATGCTAAATTCTCGTTTACAACTGGCATAGTGCGAAGAATGACGGACCGCAGCACACCCGAGAATAATGGCCAACAGCTCAAATTCGGTTACATCTATCCTCATTGACGTCTAGGTGGCAACTAGTGTTCAAAGCGCGCGGTCTCAAACTAACGAGTACAAAAGTAGTGTGAACGGTTGTGCGCGGTGAGGCACAGCAGCAAACGACTCAAAGCGCATGTCGTTGCCACTTGTGTAAACGGGCCTCAACATCTGCAAAATGTCGCGCCAGCTTAGCTGCTACAAGCTGGGGACCCGCCGTGATCGAGCCATTCACCATCACGCATGGTTGTTAATGTGGTGGTTTTCCTGCCATCTTCCTGTCCAAGTTGGCGCGAGCGCAATCGTCGTCCCACCATGGAACACGGTGCAGGATAGTTCCACTTTTAAAGCGCGGGATTGCTATACTAGCGGCCACTCTTAGGGCGTTTGTGAGGTTTGCTGCCATTTCGTCCATCGTTAGGTCATCCTCTAGCTCCTCCATGCGAGTTAGCGCCTCGAAAATCTGCCAATCTGCTCTTTTCAGGATGTATTGGGGCTGTAAGTTTGCGTGTTGGTGGGTCTAATAGCTATTGGTAAGCGGTCGCTCCCGTAGGTGTCATCCATTACCGTCCACCGAACATCATTAAAGATGTCAGGAGTGCAGAAACTCAGGTCGATTGCTGAAGTGGTGCCCATCTGAATATGTAGGTGAGTGGCTTCACCCGTATTCAAGAGGCAGATGTCCAAATCTATGAGGAATTCTTCGATAGTTCTCCCGCGTTGATCATTTATATTGTTGCCCCATGCATTGTGTTTACCATTGAAATAGCCGACCATCAGAAAGGGTCGTGGTAATTGGTGTGATAGATTTCTTAGCTCTTAAACGGTCACCTGTTGACCAGGCGGGATGTAAATATTGCAGATTGTGTGCATTTCTTGTTTAAATTTGTTTGGATGGCCATGGCTTGAATATTAGTCATGTCTAACCAGGATGAAGAGTCCAGTTTCCTGGTCTAGGGTTTGGTGTGTCGGAGAATGTTTCCACGTGGTAGTTGTATGAGAGGGTCGGGGTGAGGTCTCCAAGCATGGTCTCCTGGATGCAGACGCAGGTTGGTTGCCTCTCCCGCAACAGGGTTCTCAGATCGCCGTAATTACGTCGATAACCCCGGCAGTTCCACTGCATGATCATCAGGGGTATGATTACTGATTGGATCCTGTCCGGGTGGAGGAGTTTTAGGCTTTATTGACAAGGATGTGGGGGCGGCGGTGCGTTCCGGGTGTTTCGTTTCTTCATCCCCCCCCACTTGCGCATCTCCCTGTGGAAAGATCTCCAGCACGTTGGAAGTGCGATGGGAGAGGGATTTATTCAGGATGTCACTGCAGAGTTCAGGTACGTGGGTGACTCGTTCCAGCGAGCGCACCCTGTGAGCCACGTCAGTGTTTGTAACTTTCTTTACCTTCTCTCTACGAGGATCATCTTCGGCTGTATAAGCACCGCTTTGGTGGCGTTGGTTTTGCGGTTCTGGTTTCGGCATTTGTGCTTTTGATGTTTCATGCGAGGGGGAAGTGCTGCTTTGTATTCGCTTCCTCGTTGCGTTGCTTGCAAGAGGTTCTTTCAGTGGGGATTTAGGTGCAGCATTTGGGCGAGTGTGAAATTTGTACGCGGGTGTTTCCCGGTGCTCTGAGGTTGTAGCTACGGGTTTTCAACTCGGGTTCTCAGTGTCTGCTGTGCATGTCTGGGTAGTTCCATCGCATTTATCCACCGCAGGCACCGTTGGTCTTGGAGGCTCATTTCGCTTTGGTAATTCGGTGCATGGGGTTATGGTTTGTCGGGTTGCTTCGGCAAAGGTCATCCGTGTGTTGACGTATCGGCTCCTTACCATATGCCTGGCTTGTCCGTAGCTTAAATGCGTTCTTTTGTTAGGGTGGCTATTATTCTTCCATTTTGTAAATGGGACATGTGGTGGAGCTGGCAGGATGTGGTTTTCCGCTATTGTAATGCATTTGACTGGGTTAGTACAGGGCAGTTCATGTTGGCTATGAGCGCAACAGGCGCAAATGGCAGCGGGCCTGCGGCATGTCGCCAATCCGTGGTCATGGCCCTGACATCTGAAGCATCGGCGAGGCCTCGGGATGTAAAGTCGTACTTGACAGTGCGTCCAGCCAACTGCAACGTGTGACGGAAGTTGGCAGCCATTGAAGGTCAGTATATAAACCGTGGTGGGCACCAGTACACCGTGCTCCCTTTTCCATGTACGATATACGGCCTTGACACCGTGCTGACTCAATTCTGTTAGTAAATCTTCGTCTGTATAATTCGGGCGATTAGGTTACCAGATCGTGCCGCGAGTCTCATTCGAGTTTTTCGTGGGGAGCAGATGTAACTGGTACATTGGTTAAAGTCTTTATGGTAGTTATGGTTTGGCTCTGTTGGTAGTTTGCGACCTCAACAAGGAGTGCTCCATTCCTGGTTTCAGTGATCTTAGTTGGTTTGCCCTTTAGAGTTCTTTGTATTTTTCTGTTGTCTCTCATAACGTCGATGCCGATGCCGGAGAGGTGGCGGCCGTTATTGGCTGATATCGTGAAGAACTTAATCTGTTGTTTGGGCGCTTGTCCAGAGGGCTCATTCGGATTTTACAAGGTACTGGATCTCCGGTGCGGGCAGGTATTCGTTCGTCTGGTCCTCGCTCCTGATTTCGCGCTATCATGATATTCTCGGTTTCGGTCAGGTTCATATGGTTCTGTAGTCAGTTCTTGTTGTTCATCTGTCCGCTGACTCCTGCTCTCGATAGTCGAGGGTAGCGGCTCGGCCGTTTCGGTGGTTGAAGAGGTCGTGGTTGGTTCTATTGGGGAGAGCTGAGTCTGTGCCGGGAAAATAGTTGAGAGGGGCGCGTTCTTCGGAGAGTTTATTGCAGTTAACACGGTGTTTGCTTTCGTCCGATAGATACGTTGACAGGCATCCAATTTAATGGCCTCCAATAAGGGGATCCCTACACTCGGGCACACGCAGTCCCGACGGGACCCCTCATACGCTCTGATATAGCTTTGGTTGTCCCAAACTCAGCAGGTTATGCGCTTGACTAGTGTTGCACACGGGCGCCACTCCAGCTGCGCAACGTTCAAGCAGCCTCCCGCCTGTCAGGGAGTCCCTCGGCTAACCCTTGCCACACGTGACTATTAAGGGGAGCGTCTGGGTCAAAATTTA